GTTGGAGTGACTATGTCAGTGGACAAGGGAAGAGCTACCGATGTCAACTATCTGGGCTTCTGTAGGGCCTTTGACATGGTCCCCCACGACATCCTTCTCTCTAAAGCGTAGAGATATGGATTTGATGGGTGGACTGTTTGGTGGATGAGGAATTGGTTGGATGGTCACACCCAGAGGACAGTGGTCAACAACTCAATGTCCAGATGGACATCGGTGACAAGCAGTATCCCTCAGGGGTCCGTGTTGGGACCAGTGCTCTTTAATATCTTCGTTAGTGACATAGACAGTGGGATAGAGTGCACCCTCAGCAAGTTTGCAGATGACAGTGACGCGGTTGACAGGCCTGAGGGATGGGATGCCATCCAGAGTGAGGTGGACAAGCTCAAGGAATGGGCCTGTGTGAACCTCATGAGGTTCAACAAGGCCACGTGCAGGGTCCTGCACCTGGGTCAGGGCAACCCCTGATATCAGCACAGGCTGGGGCATGAGGGGATCGACAGCAGCCCTGCCGAGAAGGACTTGGGGGTCCTGCTGGATGAAAAGCTGGACAGGAGCCATCAATGTGTGCTTGTAGCCCAGAAGGCCAACCGTGTCCTGGGCTGCATCCAAAGCAGCGTGGCCAGCAGGGCCAGGGAGGTGATCATGCCCCTCTGCCCCGCTCTGGAGAGACCCCACCAGGAGTCCTGCGTCCAGCTCTGGAGCCTTCAGCACAGGAGAGACATGGACCTGTTGGAGCGGAGCCAGAGGAGGCCACAGAACTGATCAGAGGGCTGGAACAGCTCTGCTGTGAGGACAGGCTGGGAGAGTTGGGGTGGTTCAGCCTGGAGAAGAGAAGGCTCCAGGGAGACCTTATGGCAGCCGGCCAGGGCTTAAAGGGACCTATAGGAAAGATGGGGACGGAGTTTTTAGCAGGGCCTGTAGCGATAGGACGAGGGGTGACGGTTTTAAACTAAAAGAGGGGGGATTTCGACTAGATCTAAGGCAGAAATGTTTCACCATGAGGGTGG